ATTCCTGCTATCCAGGTCACCACTTGCAGCACAGACCCCTTTGTTAGCATTCTTCTCTTCAAATCCCTTTAAAAAAGGGACTGAATACCACAGTATCTTGTGATAAAATGCAAGTCACAGACTGTTGACATAACTTGGACTTGAAAAGCAGCCCTGAGATGTCCTAATACCAGGACTTTGCTCTAGAGGACAAACGTTACTAATGGAAATCATGAAATGACAAGGACTGACAGCATGAAACAGATCCCTCTGCTCTTCCGTGCCAGCTCAAGGCTCCACGCCACTCTGCAGCGACAGCAAAGGCTGGAACAGGTCATGGAGGGGGGCTCTGGGACTTCCAGCATGGGGCTGAGGAAGGGACAAGCAAACATCTGTCAGGATGGCTTTGGTATGCTGGTGTTGCCTTTGGTTTTAGGAGGATACTACATCATCTCCTGAGGTCCCCTTCAGCCTGCGTTACCTTATACTAAACCTGAAGCCATGTAATTCGCCTTATGATTGTGACAACAAATTGGACCTTTCCTCCAGCCTCAGTGAGTGCTGAACTACAGCTTTAAACAGCATTTAAAACCCATTTCTCAGCTTCCTAGCACAACTGCTTCTTCCTGGTGTGCCAGCTACCACATTCCTGACGTGGGGTCCTGCCAAACTGTGATACATTCCCTGTTACATTAACCCCTCAAAAAATTTTGCTCTATTTTCCATGCTTTTTCCAGCTTTATCCAAGAAGCTTCTTGAAATTTCTCAGATATGGAACCAAGAAAGAGATTTTTAAAGCACTTAGTTTTGCTTCTAACTGAATTTCTGAAGCAGTCAGAACAGAAAAATTGCCTTACACAAAAGGTCTTCCTAGTCCAGTATTTTTATCTTTATTGGTATCAAAACCAGTTACACGGAGAATGTGGGGAACCATGAAGTATCTCTACCTGCTTAATTGCTTCTTGTAAGCCAAAAGGTAGAGTTACCGCACTTACGTTTGTTCTCAAGTGTGATACAAGGGGTTGATAACATTCTTTTGTTATTCTATAGCAACAAAGACGTTTACTTACTCTTTCTGGGTTCCTGGAAGTGTTTTGCAAGAGTAAATTAACATCATTATTTTCAATCTGCTAATATCACAGATATGTTGAATGTCTAGAATCAAAAAGTAATCTAATAGCCCAGTACTGTCTTATTAGGCTGAGATGGCTTTTAACTAAACCTGATTGTAACTCTGGCAAAACAGTTGGGTATATACATGTAAAGCTAGCAATTACCATTATGTCCTAAAATAGAAACCAAATAAGGCTGGGCTAAGAAAAGACCATTTGTTCATCCAAATTCTACAAATAAAAGCCATTTATGATCTCAGGCCTGCATGAGGCACATTAAAACCTTTGGCTGAATGTCATCAGCACACAGCATATGCAGGCAGGATTTCGGTATCACACTAAGCACAATCTGCAGCGGTCTAACCTATAACCAGCACATGCTGCAAATAAAAGGGCCAGGAGGTAAGACTAGTGGCCCACAAACATATGCCAGAGCAGACTTGTCCTAAAAAATCTGAAAAACCTTCCCAAAATCTTGTGCAACAGTTCCCAGCACGGTTCTCTCTGGTTTCACACCTGGGTCTGACAGACTGCACCCCCTGACCTTGAGCTTTCTTGTGCTTTGTGTCATACAGTCCAGATTCTTCCCTACTCCCATTCCTTTGACATCCACACAGTCAGCTGTGCCAGTGTAACACAGAGGAGGAGGAAGAAAGTGCAGAGTACTGGTTAAAATGCAGTGAGCAGCACCATTCCTATAGGCACTTATGATCTAAAGAAAAGCATACCACAAAAAACACTATGGGAAACTACATCTGAACTGAAGGAAGACTTAAGACCAGTCATTCCATGGCACTCATTCTCAAAAGAAATGGGAAGTATCACATGTTCATAAGTGTTTTGCCCACGCTCAGAATCTTCAGCTGTATGACAGTCATTTCTCAATAAAGGGACTACAGTATGACTCTAATAAGGAACCAATCATTAGAAAGTTACTCAGGAATGTCAGGAAAACAACGTATTGTCCCAAAATCCACCGAAGTGGGGAAAAAAAAGATTGTATTTGAGAGCACTGGACATACAGTTACCCAAATTGTGATGTAGCCTCCCTGGGCTGCCTGTGACGCCAGCAGCTGCAGCCTCCTCAAGCGATGTCCACTTGCTCAGGCATTGTGTATAAAAACTGAATTTCACTCTCTCATAACAGCATTAGCTGACAGCACTGTTTTTTAACCAAGCAAAAGCTTCTTATACAATTCTCTGCCCGAGATGCTGAAACGTACCTGTTGTGTCTTTCACATACTCTGGCTAGACCTGCTCAATCTGAAGATAATTCCTAACATATTTAAGCTACAGCTCTGGAATGAAACAGCCCAGAAGGGTGTCTCTTTTGATGTGTTCAGATACAAAGCAAATGCCAGTGCCTGGACAAATGGGCTGTGATGTGGCGTCAGCCAGTCCAAAAGCATGGGAAAGTGGGGGGACAGGACAAGGGAAAGCAGTATAGAACTATGGTATTATATATGATTTAGACCTCCACCCTCCAAGCACCTTAAGCAGCCTCGCTAAAAGATGTAGGCCAGGCTGAGCTGCCATCGACGACACCTTGCTTGTAAAGATGCGATGCAAAAATGAGTTTCCCTTTTTAGTGTCTGCATCACCCCAGACATCCAGGAGTGAAACATCCTGCACAGCAACCCATTCGTCACCGCCTAAATTAAGCGGTAGATTTTCTTCCTTTGCCTCCCTCCCCTGCTCTCAGCCAATAGCAGGGAGCTCCGATCACAGATCACAGCACAGGCAGTGGGCTCAGAGCGGATACAGCTGTATTAACCCTGAGCACTCTGCATCTGACTTCACCCACTCCCATTTGGATCGCTTTCAAAATTTACTAGCAACTATATCTTTATTTCACATCCTCTGCTCACCCCATATAACTTATGAAAGGGAAATCCTCTTTAACTGCTTTAGTCCTAATGAATATGGTTATGCAAAGTCATGCAGGAGTTTTACATGTGCATGCTAGCTCTGCTCATAGTGGGGTTATCTCTGTAAACAGAGCTAATTGCAGTCTGACTTAACAATGCATCCTTAAATCACCCAAAAGTTCCTTTCAATCCTGATGGCTATCAGCAGCACAGGTCTAGATAAAGTCTGAAGCTGCCACAACCCCCGAGAGTCACAGGAGTAATACCCTTTTTACACTCCTTTTGTTACCGTTCCCCTCCCTATAAAACAAATAAATTAGTTTAATAAAGACAGCACCAGCAGGCTCCTGCTTTGAAACAGGAAAACAGGGTATAATGAGGAGTTTAATTATTATCTGAATTTTTAAAAGAAACAAACAATTTTTCACTTGACTTAGAAAGAAATACACTGTCAAATGTAGCTGGACCTCAAGAGCAAGCTATGAGGAACAGCGATTTGGAAGTGAAAAAAGAGGCAAATACTATCACTGAAGAAATCTCTAGTAGACTTATAAATAGCTCTTAGTCACCTTGAAAA